TCTATCTTTTTATCTCCTTTCACTCTTCTTCTCAGCTCGAAGTTGGAGACAAAACCCAAATTCATCCATGCTTCTTTTTTCTTTTGTTTTCTGACCCTGAAATTTACCACGAGTTCATTCGCTTTGATTTTAAGCCGTCTATGTGGCGCACCCTCAAACTACCCTCATCCTACGCACCATCCCGCCTTCTCTCCACCTCCAACAACCTCCTCTGCTCCTCCCCCCGATTCATCTGCCTTCCTTGTTCGAAATCCCCTATCTAGATACTCGAGACTCATCGAGTTTCCAACCCTCCCTTTCTTATTCAAATCAGTCTCTCTCGTCCCCTTGTCGTCAAACGGATACAAGATGGTTATGCTCTCTTCTAGGTCTTTTTCGAATTCTATTTTCGTTTACGACTCGACCTCCAATTCATGGAGCCAATTTAAGGGCTTTTGCCATATTCTTAACAAGAATTCTCACCAGGAAGGGGTATTCCATAATGGGCACTTGTATTTATGATTCTGAAGCCATTCTCCATAGTGGGTTTTGATTTGGAGATGGGGAAGTGGGCAAAGTCATTTTTCCATCGTGGGTGACTCCTTTTCAGAAAAAGGGTAAGGAGTGATTGACATGGGAATTGAGGATTTGGATGATGTCCTGTGATTGGTGTTGTCAGAGATGACATGGGAATTGAGAATTTGGATGATGTCTTGTGATCAATACAAAGATAGAAAGTAGAGGTATTCCAGACATGCCCACAAGGTGACCACCACCACTAGAACAGTCCATTGGTCCACCAACATCTCCTCTATAGTAATCACCATTGCTACAAAGCTGGTCTAGTCAAGTGGAATTTGGGTTCGGAAGCCATAGTTTCTATAGCAACCACCAACCGACCCCAATCTTGGCGGGGTCGAATATGGGTTCGGAAGAGCAGAGACTCTTCATCGCATGGCTGTTTCTAAATCAAATGCCACTGCGGTATGGCCGAGATTGAAATATGATGAGCGAAGTCCCTCTGTTGTTGCCCAATAGAAATCAGATGCCGCTGTAATTCGCTGTTGGAAAGTCAAGACATCGATCTTTGTAAACGGGCATTGCTGAAGATTAGACGTTCTACATTTTTCATCAAAGAAAGTCAGATTTTTCTTCTACCGCTATTGTTTGTGTATCATGAATTTGGGGAAGAAGATGAATCGTATTTTTTTCCTAATTGTATGAATAATTATTAGAAGGGTAATATGGGGATTAAAAAATATTGCAACGACAAATTTCAATGGAAAATTAATAGAAAGGGGTCTTTGTCTGACGATCATAGTACATGAGGGTCTTTGTCACAGACCCCATAGTACAGGAGGGGTCTTTATAATTTACCCATTTAAGAATGAACTTATATATAAGGATGATCCCACAACTAAATGGTTTAAACTTCTAAATTAAATGTCATGTCCAACTTGTGTGTAAATCGTGCATGAGTGTATGAACTCTCTAACATTTGCAACTCCCACTTAATCCCTAACAAGAGTTTCATGCGATCAAACCTAATTCTTTTGGTTGATAATTTGTCGGTATATATGATAGAAGTATTTAAAATATGGGTGACCTTTAAAAAAAACTATTTATATTATGTGATAGAATAGGATACATATCAATACTTTGAACCTTGATTTTATTATAAAATTACTTTATTCACTAAATATAAGGCTGTATTTGGTTTAAAGGAAAAAGTAAAGAGACCTATGTTATATAAGTTTTCCTATCTTTTCCTTCAAATCAAACACACAGCCTAAATATGAAAAAAAATTAAGTCATTCAGTTCATCCACAAAGGAATTATCACACGGCCCACTGAGACATAAGAAACGTAATCTTCATGGTCAAATTAGCTTTCATAATTTCTTGCATCCACTTGACGAGAGCCCACCTACTGATGAGCAAGACCTCTTGGTATGCCCACGAAAAAAAAAAGATTTTTTTAGAGTATCAAAAAAGACAAAAAGTCATAAAATTTCCATTGGTGCAACATCATAAATTGTCATGATGATTTGGCCCATTTTGCGGTGAAGCCCCTGCAAATATCCTACACTTGCTTTATTGGCATCGACCACCTAGTTATTCAGTAGGTAGCAATATGACAACAAAAGAGAAATTGCTCAGTGTCTATTAAGAATGGTCTGGAGGCTCCCCATTCATCATCATTCCCTCGTTGATAAACTTCAACTACACGAGTATTACCGATATGGGGAAATTTTGGTGAACTTCAACTATCATGCCTATAAGGATAACAAATATGTCATTTTAGGGAGAGTAGTGAGAGATATGGCCGGCCGTATGGGGCCTGAAATTAGGTAAAAGATTTTGACTAAACTGGTTCAGCTGCTTTGTTGAAATGCTTTGATAAACCATTTAAAGAGGCTGAAGCCGACATGCATCCTACACTCACTCCTGCAAACCACTGATTGGCAGTTGATTTGGGTTATTTGGATTTTTTACCAAATATAGCTTGTTCCTGGGGCTGAAATGTAATTGCTTTTGGCTTTCCAAACTGGATCCTATACAGACAATTATTAAGTCATATTTGGTAAAAAATTCAGATAGTCCAAATAGTCTATCAGTTGCTTTTTTTTGGATTATCTGCTTCAGTCTCTATAACTTATTCAGATGGCCTCAAAACAATTGAAATAGCTTAATTGAATACTTAGCTTAGTCCTTCCAAAATGTGCATTAAGAGGAGCAGCTCAATCAAAGCTTTAGAGCGCATTTGAGAGGGCTTCTGTGTTGGAGGTGAGGTTCGGTAAGTCAGTCACATGCATGGTAGCATCCGTGTTTAGGACACACTATTTTGGAGTAGCTTCCTATGTCAACTGTTTTTTTTTTTTTTTGACATTCTTTTATAAGATGATTACCGACTTTCGAGGTTTTCATTAAGGGGGTGCTCTTTTTTTTTGGATTTTGAGAGGGGGGAAAGTTGGTCAATGGGGTTTTGGTTTTTATTAACCAAGAATCCTATGTTCCTTTTTCAGATTTATGTAGGGACCAGAGAAAGTTTATTTTTCTGGGTACTCAAGGTAGGTAAATAATTTTCCCGCCTAGGAGAAAAGTTACCAACACTTGAATGGGACAAAAATGCCCCTTTTAGGCTTTACTCACTTTTTGGTAAATTACTTACCCAGGTAAATGTAATTACCTGGGTAGTTTTTTCTAGGGAAACACTTACCTGGGTAAGTACATTTACCCATGTTCTTTTATTTCATAAGTAAATAAGGTAATGACTATTTTAGTCATAAAAATCCATTTTTAAAAGAAACATTTTTGTACCATTCAAGTGTTAGCAACTTTCCCCCGAGGCGAGAAAGTTATTTATCCACCTAGGAGATGGGTATCACCCAGGAAAATAAACTTTTCCTAGTCCCCACAAATCTGAAAAAGGAACATAGGATTCTTGGTCATTGGGAACCAAACCCATTGACCAACTTTCCCCACTCGCAAAATCCAAAAAAAGAACACCCCTTTAATAATAAAATTATATAGATAAAATGGTCATTGCTTTATTTACATAAAAAATAAAAAAACATGGGTAAATATACTTATTCCGAATAAGTATTTCTAAGAAAAACTTACCCTTTACTAGAATAAATAACTTATCAAAAACCAAACGAGGCACAAATACAACTGGACCCAGTTTAGAACACCATAATCGACACATCCTGAAAGCTCTCTCAAACAGGCACACAGTCTTAAATTCACAACCAAAACGAATTCGGCTGGTCACGGCAAAGCCCGTTCTAACAGTCTTACATTGGGACTTGGGAATATATTGTAATTTATTTCATGAGTCAATGTAAAATTACAATGGGCTGCTCGCACCAACTTGCCCTGACCGAAGCCGAACTCAACCAAAACTACCTCGCCCTAATTATGTTAGTGATGAAAATGAAGGTATAAGATGAATTATGGGTAGTCTTTGGCTGTGTAGTGGAGACCTGGGAATCCGCCACTCAAGGGTTTGATTGGGGACTGCCGGACTGGGAAACTCTATCTAGCCGTGCTGTCCTTGCGTAGCCGAAGAGGGAAAAAATACTGTACTCACCGACAATTATTTTTCTCGTTGAGAGAACACCGACAATTATTCAATCTCCTATTTTTTTTTTTCTAATATTATATGATTATTATGACTAAGAAGTTGGGAATAGATGAAAGCATAACTCACGCTAGATTCAATTAATTAACCCTCCTAAACGTGCTGGTTAATAAATCTATTCACTTTTGACTCAATATATTATGGGTTTTGGTTTCAGCGAAAAAAAATATTACGAGAGTTTTGGCGTGACACGACTTAAAACATTGAATAATGGATGGTGGTAGGAGCATCCAGCAGAGACTGTACTCTCTAACACTTCACCGGCTCACCCGGCAGCACGGGAACGGGAGCTTCAATTGACATATGATAGTGAAGGGATCGCCGGAGGCCGGCGGTTCCTACGTAGGAGTATGAGAATCAACTTTCACAGTTTCGCTCGTGGTCGTGGGAGGTGGGAACCTCGGCTTCTCATGAGTCATGATGTGATGTTCCTAATAAGCTCTAATGCTGAGTCCACTTGTATTCTGAATCAGCTGACTAGTGGATCAGAACAGACAACACATTGCTGACCACATCAACGTAGCCGCACATCGGGAACATCTCTTGTATTTTTCCGATGTGCGGCAGCGTTGATGTGGTCAGCAATGTATTGTATTGTGATAAGCCGATCTAAAAGTCCATACTCGTTTCTATGGACGTGTCACGTGTAATGGAGGGTTAGGCAGATGAGGTTAGTGATTGATTTGATAATTATCTATGAAGTATGAAATCAACCTGATACCCGGGGGCTGTGCCGCCGTGCGTGTGGGTGTGGGTGTGGATGTGGTAGGTTAATTCCGTAATTAAAATTAAAACCAAGGGTTGTAAGATATACTTTTGTCGAATCAAGTTCATTCACGTATCACGTTTTATGTATAGGCAAGCAGTAGCCAGTAGGCTGCTTACGCTCAGGGGGTCCAAACCGTATGCGCGGCGTGGAAGAGGGTAGAAAATTTGCAAACACGAGCTTGTTCTGTTTTGCTGCAGCCTGCATAAATCAATCTCTATTCATTTCGTCACAGAGAAAGACGAAAAGGAGAAAGAGAGACAGAAACAAGCGCAGTTTCAAAGTTTTATTAAACCAAGATTTGGAATTTCTCTGATAATACTGTAAAAGTGAGTTTCTTTAGTTCCTCTTTAACGGCAATAAACGAACAGTTTCACCTCTCTCTTCTCTCTCTCTCCCTCTCCCTCTCCCTCTCTACATATATAGACGGCGCTCTCTATTGCTGCTGATCCTTTAGAGTGAGGATCCGGTCTAGGGTTTTGAAAGTCTTAAATTATCCTGATTTATCTTCAATTTCTCTAGAGTTGATTTGGTTTCTTTCTCTTTCGATTTATTGAATTCCTTGCAGTTGCAGTTGAGCTTGTATTCGTGTTGATTCGGCCATCTTCGGAATGAGGTGAGGATCTCATTTTCGATTTTACGTGCGTTTTGTTAATCTTGGGAGTCCAAGCTTTGGTTTCTGATGGATGGAGTGGTAGATCCAGATCGAGGAGGTAGTGATTACTGATTAGAGCAGAAAGAGTGACAAGATGAGTGACAGCGAGCGGTTTCAGCTTGGTACTATCGGTGCGTTGAGTCTTTCAGTGGTTTCTTCGGTGTCTATTGTGATTTGCAACAAGGCTCTTATTAGTTCCCTTGGTTTCACTTTCGGTGAGTGAACTCCATCTCTCCTTTGCCAGATTCATACTTCTTATGGGTGATACTTTCTCTTTATTCTTTCAATTTTTATATACAGTTATTTATTAACTTACTGTGCATTGTTAGTTTCGATTGGTTTTTAGACATTTTCCTTGATGAATTATTCAGATTTCTCAATTGAACAATTATATGGATCAATTTTCGTACTTGTTTTACTCATTAACCATTATGTGGCCTCTTTTATTTTTGTTCTTTTGTTTATTGTCTCGGTAGTTATATCACTCTGAATCTAATCTGCACATTGAATTATTGGTATGCCACAACTTTATACAGTTCTGGATTCTGATGGTTGGCGTACTAGGAAAATATATCCACAGAAATGTGCAACTGTATGTGGTTCTGCCATCATATCTATTAAAGAGAATTCATTTTTCCATGTTCAAAACTCTAAAATATAAGCCACATTTATGTCCACCTTTCTTCCCATTTTACCCTTAAGTCTGGGGTTGTTGGCTTTGCCATTGTGATGCATCTTCTGCCACTATGAAGTAAATCAGAATATTATACAGTTATTCTTGAAAAAGTTATCAAATGTTAAATATTACTTTTAAATTACCACTGTGCTGTTAGTGAGATAATTGTTCATAAGCTCTTTGATATTTAAATCATGGTGGCTTAAGTAGGGTTTGTGAAGGGAGGAAGGCCCTTCCTACCCTACAATTCTGCATGTGGGGGACAAGAAGGGGAGGGGGTGTTCATATTTGAAATGGGTAAGGGAAAGGAAACCAAAGGGCTTTAGAAAATGATTTCAGATTTAAATTTAAAATTAGAAAAAAAAGCTGCTGAAAATTAAATAAATAATTGGAGGAAATTCAGGATAGTGGTAGAGGAAAATAAACATGAGTTATAGAAGAAATATGAGTTCATGGCAGTGAAGATGGTGAAACAAATAAAAAGGAGAATAATAGAATACTAGAATAGTATAGAATAGAAGGGATAGAAGTTTGAGAAGACTCGAAGAGACTGCACCTTTAGGGACTTGATCTGAAAATTTTGTTCCATATTTTTAAATTCTTCATAGAACATATTGCTTGGTAAAATGGTAAACTATTGGGCTGACAAGTGTGAGATTCTTGGTTTGATTCTGAGAGTGGCCACTTTGTGCAACAATGCCAAAATTTAGGTCTATATCCAGTTTACACTTCTTAAGACCCCAGATAGCTGCAATCCTAGACTTTCTCTCATAATATACAATGATCAAAAAATAACTGTATATAAATGACTGACTTCCTCCTTGTGATCAAGTCAAGGATTCTTTTATAGTGTTTATGGTCAGACAGTTAAGTGTTGGATTGCTTTGTTATTCTTCAAGGTTCTAGGAAGTGGAAACTTGCTTGCTGACAGATTATTTTTCTGATCATTGCATGCTATAAAAGACCTGGGAAAGTATGCTATTTTTGTTACCTGACAGTTATTGAATTCTTTTGATGTTTTGTTCCCAATGTGTGTCTGCTGTGTATTCTGAAATGTTACCTCTGGTTCTTAAGGTCCATTCCTTGATATTCTTACCTCTGAGTTATGATGTGTAGCCACAACTTTAACAAGCTGGCATCTTCTGGTCACATTCTGTTCCCTTCATGGGGCATTGTGGATGAAATTGTTTGAACACAAGCCTTTTGATCCAAGAGCTGTAATGGGCTTTGGCATACTTAATGGGATCTCAATTGGACTTTTGAATCTAAGTTTGGGTTTCAACTCTGTTGGTTTCTATCAGGTAGCATTCTTTTATCTAACCCTCTTTTTTAGTGTAGTACATGAAATGTCTAATAAATTCAGGTTGGAGATATTTATAATATTCCTATTGTGTGTGTGTGTGTGTTTATATATATATATATATATATATGTATGTATGTATGTATGTATGTATAGTTTTGTCCTTTCTTTTCCAGGCATTGTGGCTTGGATTCTTACAAGTTTAGTCATATTTGATACTTGTGAATACTGAACCAACCAATTGGAATGCTGCATTCCATCTTCTCAGACAGTTCTGTTTTGAAATAGAAAGTGCTATGAAATATTTTAGTCTTGTAATAATTGGTTTGGGATCATTGCTTGGTGCAATGGTAAAATCATGTCCTGACGAGCATGAGAACACATGTAGTATATGAGAGTTGTCAGTTTGTGCAAAAAATGTCGGATGCTAGGTATTTATCCATTTCACCCCTTTGAAGATCCCAGATAGCTGGGACCAGCACTGGGTAATGACCTTTTGTTAGGTGCTTTATGCTTTGGATTATGTGCTAGAGAGTAGAGTTAAAATTGTTGTCTTCATATAATTGCTTTTCACTGCAGATGACTAAGCTAGCTATCATCCCTTGCACTGTTCTTTTGGAGACCCTTTTCTTTAGGAAGAGATTCAGGTTTGTCTTATCTCAGAGTTGGTCTTGACAAGATCAATATGCCAATTGCTATTTTTATTGTTATCTATTATATGCACCTTGAGAACTTATTTGTTCTGTCTATTCCGAACTAAATAAGCATTTTTTTAAAAAGAGTTCATAATATTCTCTCTTTCTCTGTGTATGTGTATGTATGTGCATGTCAAATCAAGAAAGAGTTAAGAAAATACAGGTTGACAGTTGTAGACTCAAAAAATCATCCCAAGACCCAACAAAGACTATGCAGAGTCCAACAATGATTCTAATTTCTGAATAATTTCTAAGAACTGCAATTTCATATTCTGTGCTGCAACATCTGGATTGTTTTGTTTTGGATTTTTGCTTGGAAACTTTGTGATTCTTGGACTTTTATTGCTGGTTTGACCTTGGTAATTTAGGTTCCATATTTTAATTCTTAATTGATTAGCATATCCCTTCTTTGCATCTTCTTTCTCCCATTTCTTTTTAATTTTCCAAGTTTTGTCTGTCATGAAGAAGCTCCAGAAGGAAGTCAATTCTTAACTGGGAGTGGTTTAAGGGTTCTCCTAGTTTCTAAGTTGCAAGGTCAAAGCTGGTGTCATAAAAGGCTTGACCTTACCCCTATGTTCTATATAAAGGACCTGACCTGCTATAATAAACATTGTCAAGCAAAAAAAAATTGATTCGTAGGTTTTACAAGATTTTCCATGCTGGTACTGATGACTCTGTTGAGGTGCTTATGTTGAAGGTTAGTGTCATTCACTCAAAAAAAGTGTTCAATTTTCTTAAAACCGCTTCTCTTGCCTTTTTTCTCATTGTTTTATCTTAATTCTACTTTTTTTTGTTCCATTTCTATTTTTGGTAAACAAAAATCATAGTTTTTTTTAGTAGAACAAAATTCATAAAAGAAAAAAGAAATATACAGGTTTTGTGGATCAAGCACCGATCGGAAAACTTCTCCAACCTCACAACAACACAATTCAAGATTAAACTTAATAACTGAAAAAAACACCCTTTCTTCTAGATTTGAATGAGTTGGTGAAGTTAATGGCACAAATGATACCTGACATTCTTAATTTCAGAATGTATACACTGGCACAAATGATAATTTTCTGTTAGACTTAAAGATACTTGACATTTCTTAGTTTCAGAATGTATAGAACTGTCATTGTACATATTGAGAGGTTTTTGATAAATAAACTCCAACTGCTCTGTTATGGGCCTGAATTTTTTTTGTTCAATATCCTTACCTTATGTCTTGAATTCTTGGGTTTTTTATTGTAGTAAATTTTTATCTCTGGCTTATTGTGTAATTACAATTATACCTACTAATACTTTCTTTATCATTGTGCAGTAAGAGTATCCAGTTCTCTCTCACCATTCTTCTTTTTGGTGTTGGGATTGCAACTGTGACTGATGTGCAACTCAATGCTCTGGGATCTGTCTTATCTCTGCTTGCAGTTATTACAACTTGCATTGCTCAGATTGTATCCTTGAGTGATGCTTTTTCTCTTTATCTTATATTAACTCTACCTTTTATTATGAACTGGTATTACATGCTTGTTGACTCAGACCAAGTAGATTTCATCTGGCAGGCGATGGCTTGTCATCAAGTATCAACATGGATGCAAAGTCTTATCACATAAAATTTTGTATGTAGTAGTTGTGTACTCTTTTAGCATAAGATATAAAATGATATGGAGGAAATCATATGGGCAATGTACAAGCTTTATGACCATGTTATACATACAGGACAAGAATGTAGGTCACTAGTTTATGGACCCTTTTCATACATTCTTGACTAAAAGCTGATGCAGCCAATGATCATGAGCAGCTAGTGTTTCTTTTTCTTTTTCTTCTGTTCTATTTTTTAACTTTCTGCTGCCTGATCATATGAACAGTGTAGATACATATAGGACAAGAATGTAGAGTTACTAGTTTATGGACCTTCTTTAGACATCCATGACCACAAACTGATGTAGCCAATGATCATGATCATCCAGTTTTTTTTCCTTGCTTCATGGCTAAGAATGCTTAAAATCATCAAATTGAATTTCTTTCAGCATGGAGGACATCTGTAGTGGGGCCTCCACCTTCATGGGATTCCTTTTCCCTTCCATATTCTCTATGTATACTGTTATGGGATTGGTTATCTTAAATATCCTTTTAAGTATACAAAAGAAAATACTGAAAGCATTATTTTTAACCCATCCAGTTACTAAGATTATGGGTAAATGTACTTGTATCACATATCTTTCTATGCAAAGATGCTATTCTTCTATCTGGTAGGCATCCTTTAGGGAAGATGGCATCTTCACCCAATAATACATAGATGGTAATGAAAATCATGCATGGCGAATTGATGATTAAGTCATTGCTGTGATATTGTTTTTATTGGCAGGTGTTGATTTGGTTTTCCTTGTTGTGTACACGTTTGTTTTTGTAATTCTTATTCTGTTATGTTTATATTTATATTTATTTTCTCTTGTTTAAGATCTTAATCAGTTCTTGTCAGATGACCAATACCATCCAGAAGAGGTTTAAGGTGTCTTCAACACAACTCTTGTATCAATCCTGCCCCTATCAAGCAATGACTCTATTCATCACTGGTCCATTTCTAGATTGGCTTTTGACTAATCAAAATGTTTTTGCTTTCAAGTATACACCCCAAGTGCTGGTGAGGACCTAACAACTTTTAATAGAATCTTCTTTTAAGTTCTTTGCCGAAAACTCTTTAGCTATATTTGTATTATTTCTTTTGCAGGTCTTCATAGTTCTGTCCTGCCTCATCTCTGTCTCTGTTAACTTCAGTACATTTCTTGTAATTGGGAAGACTTCTCCTGTCACATATCAGGTCCTAGGGCATCTGAAAACATGCCTAGTTTTGGCTTTTGGTTATGTCTTACTTCATGATCCATTTAGCTGGCGGAACATATTTGGAATCATGATTGCTCTAGTTGGCATGATACTTTATTCGTACTTCTGCTCTGCTGAGAATCAGCAAAAAGCTAGTGAAGCATCTACACAACTGTCCCAGGTAAACCTGCTCTTGGTCATTGTGTTGCTAATGTGGACAAGGTTCTTTGAATAATTACATAATTAGATGTCTAATCAGTTTTACAATCAAGACAAAGGTTTAGGTTGCAGATGCAGGATATGTCAACCCATCTTCATATCATAGACAAATGTGTTTGTGACTACATCTGAACTTCAATGTGATTTGTATTTGTTTGCAAATATGGTCTGGTGGTAATGAGCATTGAAATGGCCTTACTTGGCCAACATCAGCTCAGCCTAAGGCACAAACTCAGACTTTGGGTCTGGACTCAGCCCAAGGTGCTGAGCTTGGCCCAAGCCTGGTGAGCCTAAACTTCACTCAAGAAAATGGTAGGATATCATACATTTTCGTAAGTTTTTTCTTGAGCAAGGGGACCAATACCACCTATAATAAATATTATATATAATATTTTATATTATATAATGTATAAAATAAATATGATATACATATTATATAATAGGGAAAATTCCCGACTAGTACGCTGTACTCTGGGCCTAGTGCCACTTTTGTCCCTGAATTTTAAAGCGTGCCAATTTAGTACCTACCGTTAACCATCCGTTAAGTGGCATTTTGAAAAGACACAAATGCCCTTCGAGTGTCACCTAATTCTCTTTATCGACCATCCAAACGTTGATAAAAAATGAACAGTCCCAAATCCTTGCTCACTGAGATGTGACCCAAACTTTCTTGAATAGAAGAGGCAAGGATTTGGGACTGTTCATTTCTTGTCAACATTTGGATGGTTGATAAAGAGAGTAGATGACACTCGAAGGGCATTTGTGTCTTTTCAAATGCCACATAATGGGTGATTAACAACTGGTTAATGGTAAGTACTGGATCGGCATGTTTTGAAAGTTCAGGTACTGAATTGTTGTGTTTTAAAGTTTGGGGGCCAAAGTGGCACTAGGCCCAAAGTACAGGGTACTAAATGGGAACAACGTTCCCTATATAATATTATGTATACAAACTTTAGGCCCAGAATCAGTCCCACCCTGGCCCATGATCACCCCTACCTGGCACTGTACTTCCTTGGACCAGTTCCATGGGCTGGACCAGGTTCATAGGTACATGCTGATTTGTCCAACTCAACTTGTGGTGCTTGGTTATTTCCTAACATGGTCCACTTGCCAAATTTTATTATTATTATTTAATCCTTCTTTGTCTTAGAAATGGATACAGAGTTGTAATATCCTTGTGTAGAATTTGCTTTGACCTACTGTCAACTTGGACCATGGATCACAATTATTTGAATTTATGCAACCCCAACTTACATGATCTGCAATTTTTAATCTTATGTGAAATTAAGGTAGGTTTCCCATGGTTGCACTAAGGTTCACAAGTAGTGAATGCTTGAGGAGTGTTCTGGTGCATGCTGAACACTAAAAGCTCAAGGTAAAGTTAAATTGATCAAAAAAGGTAAAGTTAAAAAAAGAACGGCACAGATGAAGATTGATTTATTTAAATTGAATGCTGGGCTTCCCATTCTTCTAGTGACATTAGCTGAGATGTTGACATTAAGATAGATGACTGGCAAGAGTAGGAACCCGGAATTATCAGGCAGTTCTCCAAGACAGGGATGGTTAGGGCTGGTTTAGTTGATGATGAAGGAGTTGCTCTTGGTTTTGAGCCGTTTCGTTTTTTGAGTTTTTGGTGTTTTTTTCCCGGTTTGTTACTGTAAAACTTTGGCTGTAGGTGGTAGCTGTTTTTGGGGTTTGTTTCTTTCTCTTGGGTAATGTCTTAAACCTTCCTCTTGTATTCTCTCTCTTTTTTTGTTTTTTTGATCAGTAATCAAAGTAGATTTCATTACTTAGAGAAAAAAGTTAATACAGAAACATGGGCAGCCTCGGTTACCAACAATAGAAAACATAGACAAATTGATGATGAGTCTCACAATTGAGCCCARAAGCACTCTGCTCTGTTTACCCCTTGCTTTGCTAGATGGTCAGCTAAGCCATTTGCCGACCTAGGAGCCCATTGAAATATCAGCTGCATATCCCTCGAGAACCTCTTGAACTGTTTGAAATTGTTTCTGAAAAACCAAGGAATCTTCTCATTCTGCTTAAACCAACTTATTGCTATTTTGGAGTCGCCTTCAACTATTAGCTTCCGGAACCCCATTTCCAAAGATTTCTGCATCCCATAAAGTACTGCCTTCAATTTTGCTGTTACAGAGTCACACACCCCAATGGGACCTGAGTACATTCCCAAAATCACTCCATTCCTTAGAACCCCTCCAATTCCAGAGGGCCCTGGGTTCCCAAAACTACTTCCATCGAAATTTAATTTCAGGAAACCTACCTCTGGGGGTTCCCATTCCTTTAGTGTCCTCCGCTTAGCTGAAGTTGAGGYTGCAATTGTTCTCCAGTTCCTTAATTTATCATCAATAGAGAAATCTGAGAACAACTCCAAAGTCTTTATCTAGAAGGCCACTTTTGCCATGATCCCTTCAATTAATGCTTCCTTGCTTCTTTTCTTTTCCTCAAATATACGCTTATTTCTTTCCTCCCATAGGGTCCATATTATTGCTGCTCTTGTGCACCTCCACATCAGTCTTTCCCTCCTTTTTGACCAGCTGAAAGTGGATCTATCAAACCTGTCCAATCTGTCTAGAGTATTCCACCTGCACCCAAAAAGAGAAAAGAACCGATCCCAAATACCACAAGAAAAAGGACAGGAAGAGGCACCATCCTTTAAAATATCACAAATGTTGATTGCACCATGGAAGAACTCCCAACAAAAAGCACTCACTTTGGGGGGAATTGGATGACACCAGATCTCTTTGACTGGAAAGGGAGTATTTGGTTGAGAAGGCACAGACAACAATTTGAAAAAAGAAGCACAACTGAAAACCCCAGAAGGATGTAGAGTCYAAATTCTATCATCTTGTTTACTTAGGTCTGGGAAAACCCCTTCAAGAATGTGTAGAAGATTTGAAAGAAGGCCTAAATCAGTGTCCCTCACATTTCTATGAAAACCTAGATTCCACCCAAGCCCGTTAGCCGAGGGAGAGGGGAGCAGAAACTCAGAAATTGGCTTACCCTGGAGAGCAGAAAGGGTGAACAAAGAAGGGAAAGAAACCTTTAAAGGGACTTCACCCACCCAAAGATCCTCCCAGAACTTGATCTTGTTGCCTGAATTAAAATCGAATCTGATGTGATTGAGAAAGGATGGAAGGCATTTCTGAATTGCTCTCCAGGGTGAAAAGCAAGAGGCCCTGCTAGAAGTTTTAGCATCCCACCCGTTCACAGAGAGCCCATGAATACTAGCGATCACTTTATGCCATAACCTGTCAGATTCTCTCGGAAATCTCCACAACCACTTCTCTAGAAGAGCCTGGTTCTTTTCTTTCAGTGTTCCTAACCCCAACCCTCCATCCTCCTTCCGTCTACAAACTATTTCCCATATGATTAGGTGATCCTTCTTTGTTTCTCCCAGTTTCCACAAGAAAACCTACATAATTTTCTCTAACTTCTTAACAATCACCTGAAGTACACTAAACACCGATAGGTAATAGACCGGAATGTTAGCTAAGGTGGATTTGATTAAGGTTATCCTACCTCCCAAAGAAATATAGTTCCTCTTCCAAGCTGCTAACTTCTTATCAAATCTCTCCACTACCGGGCTTCAGAAGGTCACAGACCTAGGGTTTGCACCTAAAGGGAGTCCTAAGTACTTCATAGGCCAATCACTGGACACACATCTGAGTTCCTTTGCCCACAGCTCCAACTCTTCCTGCCCCTTATTTACCCCAGCTACTACACTTTTATTGAGATTAACCTTTAGATTTGCCAACATCTCAAACAAGCTCAATAACCTCCTCAGATTCCTATCCTCCTCCTCACCTTCCCCCTCACAAAAAATAATGATGTCGTCTGCAAATTGAAGATGGGTTACCATCACCCTGTCTCTCCCCACTCTCCACCCTCTTAAGACACCCATTTCATTCGCTTTTATGATCAATCTGCTGAACACCTCTGCAACAATAGTAAATAGAAACGGTGAAAGAGGACCCCCCTGTCTCAGGCCTCTCATAGCACCAAAGAAATCTATAACCGACCCATTCACCAATACTGAAAAATGAAAAGATTTTAGGCAACCTCTAATCCACTTGCACCATTTTGCACCAAAACCACAATTGCTCAAAGCTTCAATTAAGAAACCCCAGTCCACAAAATCGTAGGCTTTCTCCAGATCCAACTTGCACATAATACCTTTCCTCCCATTCTTCCTAAAATCCTCTACACACTCATTTGCAATGAGCAACTGATCTGAAATCTGTCTTTCTTTGATAAAAGCTCCTTGATACTCTGATATGATTGATGCAAGTACCTTCTTTAGGCGGTTAGAGAGAACCTTGGCTATGATTTTGTATTGACTTGTCACTAAGCTGATTGGTCTAAAGTCCTTGGAGTGACATGCTCCTGATTTCTTAGGAATCAACGCAATAAAAGTAGCATTAATCCCTCTACTTATCATCCCTCTGTGATATAATTCCTCAAAACCCTTCATTAAATCTTCCTTAAGCCACTCCCAACAATCTTGGTAAAAAGCCATGGTAAATCCATCTGGATCTGGAGCCTTGGACCTATCCATAGAGAAAATAGCTGCTTTCACTTCTTCAACCTTAAAACCACTTTCTAATTCTCTACTCAAGGTGCTATCTAAAACAGGCCATGTCAAACCCTCTAAGATCCGTCTATTCTCTACTGGCCTTCTATAAATTTTTTTGAAGTGATTCACAAAAGCCTTTACGATTGCATTCTGTTGTGTGATGATAATTCCATTTTTTAATTCCAACATAGAGATGCAATTTTTCCTTCTCCTACCATTTGCGGTTGCATGAAAGTATCTAGTGTTCCCATCACCTTCCTTTATCCACCTTTTTCTTGACTTTTGTTTCCATGACATCTCCTCTCTCAATAGTGTAACTTCCAACTCTTTTTTCAAATTTGTCCTCTCCTCCTTCTCGACCAGGCCCA